ATTTTTTTAAAGTTTATTTATTTATTCTGAGAGAGAGAGAGAGAGAGAGAGAGACTATGAGCAGGGTAGGGGCAGAGAGAGAGGGAGAGAGAATTCCAAGCAGGGTCCACGCTGTCAGCACAGAGCCCAATGTGGGGCTTGAACCCATGAACCATGAGATCATGACCTGAGCCGAAATCAAGAGCTGGACGCTTAACCTACTGAGCCACCGAGGCACCCTGAGAGACAGAGTCTTAAGCAGACTCCATGCTCAGCACAAAGCTCAGTGTGGGGCTCAATCCCATGACCGTGAGATCATGACCTGAGCCGAAATCAAGAGTCAGTCACTCAACCGACTGAGCCACCCAGGTGCCCAGGAACATGCATCTATTGACGAGAGGACTCAGAATATTGTAGACTGACAAGATGGTAGGCTGCTATGTCCTGCAGCATCAAGAGGTGAGAAAACAGACTCAAGCTGCACATGCAGTGGGAAAATACAAAAGGACCAGAAGACACTGATTGCTGGAGCCTGTGCATTTTCCTCATCACTCATTTTTTTCCCCTCTTGTAATGGATCAAGTCTCAGCTGCCTGAATGCTCAGAAAGGATCCTGCTGGCAGGACAGGAATGGACCTACACATATCTCTCAGGGGAGGTGGCTGGCGGCCATGACTTTCCCTCCTGGTCTTGCCATTGTGGAGTTTAACCTGGATAAGTCACTTGATACCTAAGTTTATCTAGTTTTCGCCAAGAGAGAAAAGACAAAAGATAGTAATTCTGCACGCTCCTGTCTAGGGACCAGACTGGTGACAATTGTGGGCTCCTCCCTCCGGTCCAGTCATCATAATGCCTTGCCTGGGGCCCTGCTCCCCGTGTGCCCATGGACGGTGCCTCTTAGGAACATGCATCTGGATCCTCCAGCTGGATAAAATTGTATTTTCTAGTCATCCTTAACATTTGCCTACTCAACACCCCCATTTCATCCTGCACAGGCCACATCCCTAAATTCCAGCTGCGGGAGGAACGGTGACCCAGGATTCCTCAGGAGTCAGAGAGGGGAGGGATCACTGCCTGCTATACACCACGTGTCTCCCTGTGGCTTGTTCCCTCCCAGACGCAGTCACTCTGCTCACGAACACAGTCCTCAGAGGCAGGTACTGAACCTAGAGCATGCCCCCCAAGACCCCAGAAAATGACAGATTGCTTTCCACCAGCTCTTCAGACCTTCACTCGTAACCCTGAGTGAGCATTCCAGGCCACATCCTGTGGGTACTGATGAGGAGCTGAGTGCACTAAGAATGTCTACACGGGGCCTCACACTAATTTTAAAACCATCCTGACTCTGCGGTCTTAAGGTTTTTTTTGTTTTCTTTCCATCTGTCTCCAGACTAGCCAAGTTCAACATTGTAAAATGCTAACTCTGGACTGAATGGCACAGCTAACGTTTTAGGAGAAGACAAGAGGGGAGGGGGGAGGGAAGCTTCATTCCTCATGAAAAAGTTAAGACACAAAGACATGAAACACACCCGAGAACAATTTAAACTGCTTCTGCCCTTGGCGTAGGGTGGCCCTTTTGAGCAGCGGGAACATGTACCAGGGCCCACCCCCGCCGGCCTCAACCTCCCCGTCTGCCATCTTGACAAACCTGCTTTCCTCCCAGTCTCTGGGCTTCTTGGTTTCGTTCGGTTTTATGCAGCGGATGTAGTGAGGTGTGCACTTCATCAGGGTGCTCACGAGGTCATTGGCTTGTTTCTAGAAAGGAAGAATCACATCAGGTGGAAACACGGAACTTTTTCTCAAGCAGACCAACTTTCCAAAGAGATCTGTGAAACTCTAGCGCAGACATTTATAGCTAGAAATTAATCTTCAGGACTTGCTCGTTAGGCTTCCCTCTGCTCGACTATACTCTCTTAAGGCTCTACTGACTTTTATGATGATTCTAACATCCGCAAATGGGTTGGAAGTTAGATTTTTGAAAACAATCAGGTCTTCTCAGTATAGTTAATAAAACAAAACAAAAAAACCAAAGCCAATACATCTTCGCATGCAATTCTTTTCATGAGGAACAAGGAAGCATGCCAGTTATTAGCAAATTAAGCTGATAGAGGGCCTTCGCAAACACATTGTTCTCCTAGCCTTTTTTGGTGCTCGAGTGGGGTGGGGAGGAGAAATTATTTGCAAGATTAAAGCATTAGAGGCCCCTGTACTCTCTTTCCAGGCAATTCAACCAATGTGGAGTCACCTTATTAAAATGATGGAAATGAATAAAGAGTGAGAGATAGATAAGCTCAGAATTTATAAATTGTTTCTTTTTTAAAAAAGATTATTTATTTATTTTGAGAGAGAGACAGCATGAGCGGGGAAGAGACAGAGAGATAGGGAGAGAGAGAATCCCAAGCAGGCTCTATGCTGTGACCATGGAGCCTGACGCGGGGCTTGAAGCCACGAACAGTGAGATCATGACCTGAGCAGAAACCAAGAGTCAGTCGCTTAACCGGCTGAGCCACGCAGGTGTCCCTTATACATCTTTCCATATGCCACTTCGCTCACCTGCTTCCTCAGCATGTCCTTTTATAAACCTGCAGCATCTGAGCCATATTGGTGTGCCATATAACCTACTCCTTCACAAAATATCCAATATGAAATCTTCTCTCACTACCTGTGCACTGGGTACGCAAAAGGAAACTGGGCTCAAGCAGAGAAAGCCACACAAATAAAGCTGCAATTGCTTATGATGTGTTTCAAATTGTGAGTATCTCAAACTTGGAGGAAACAGGAACAGGGCCCACATCAGCATTCCCAACACCACACAGCTGTGCACTCGTGGGGCCCAGGATGGGGTCCACACAAACCCTCCTTCTCATCAAATCAGTGTGAAGAGAGAAAACCTCTAAAGGAAAATAGAGAGAAGGGATCTCTAAAGCCAGAAAACCATTACAAAGTCAGCAGAAGAGATCTGCCTCCAGTAGGCAACTCTCTCTCAATTAGGGCTTTTCTGTTTTCATGGGTTTGGGAAATCTGAAACCCTTGAGAAAGATGCTTGAGTATATTCAAAGCAAGATGTGCACTAGTGAATTATGTGCTCTGTTTAGACGTGCCGAATATAGCATTTTTTTGCAATGCTTAGAAGAACAAAGCTGCAGAGGTTGTATGGCCAAAGCAAAGCCCGACAATGAAAAAGTAAATTGACTCGTATCTCCCTTTTCGATGGAGATTGTATTTCAGAACAAACCTGATGATCTTTGCAACACATGAGGTGCAGCTGGGCAGGGCGTGCTTATAACAAAGCTTTAAGTCTCCAAACTTGTAATTTTTATTTTTTCTATTTTAATTTTATTAAAACGTTTTAATTTCCAAGAATAACTTGGAAGACCCTTCGTCCTAAGCATTTCACAACATACCTTCTTTTCACCTTAGCGTGAGAACATACAGGGGCAAGTGCGATTTATGTTACCTGCCCCTTGACTTAGTTCTCTCTAGCTCAAAGTAGTAGTGGGGTTAACATTTACTGAATATGCACCAGGGGCTAGACATATGGATCCTCTCATTTGTGCCTCAGGATTCTAAGAGATAGCTACTATTCTTATTATTCTTCCCATTTTTAAGACAAGAAAGCCAGACCATAAAGAAAGTATTGCTCCAGATGGCACAAATTATAACAGAGTTGAGGCTTGAACCCAAATGTGCATACCACCAAGTCTGTTCCTTAACCACAATGCTCTCCTGCCTTCCTAAGCAAGATAGGAGATCTTTTGGTGTGATGTAGAAGGAATGAACAGAATGAGCTGAGAGTAGATAAAGTCTTTAGGTTGTGGGATAATTCATTTCGGCAAATAGGACTACACCTTACCCATCAAAATTATCCTGAATTTAGTTATGGAGTCAACTTTAGATGTCTCCTGAGCTGGTTGGGAAGCAGCAACCAGATTTACCCTGACTCTGGACAAGAACAGTCCATGAGTTAGGACAGAAGGCGACCAAAGGCACTTACTTGCCCAACAGAAGCATAAATCAAAACACGCAGACGGGGCAGTGAGGAAAGGCTCAGGGTGAGGCTCCTCCTTTTATCCTCAACACAGATTACCAGCAAGCTCCAGGTGGGGTCTTGCCTCTACTATTTGCAAGCTTTATGACAAATCACTACGTTTCTCTGGGCCTCAGTTTCTCCATCTGTAAATGAAGAGGACTGAACTAGAAGACCTCTAACATCTTAACCTAAAGGTTGGAGAAAATGTTAAAAGTCAAGCAGTCCAGTCCCTGCACGGTGCTTTCATCTCCTGCCGTATCCACTCCTCAGAGTCTCCGCTTTCACTTGGATGAAGCCGCAATCCCGTCCACTTTGCCAGCGCTGAGCTCGGTGCCATTTGCCAACAGCACTGATCTTTGGCTCTAATTTCAAAACTGGTCCCTTCCAGCCACAACAATGCAGAATTTAGTGAAGCCTCAAAATCAAAAAGCACTATTAAATACAGAATACTATTACTTATAAACAAGAGAACAGTTCTCACCAAATGAATATTCATTAGTTAGATCCTACAGATTGGTTTGAAATTTTAAAGTATTAGAAAATAATAAAATACCCAACACAAAAACTACCTTGAACATAAACTTAATTTTGCTTCCAAGGAATTTTAGATCTCTTTTTTTTAATGTTTATCATTTTTGAGAGCGAGCGAGAGACAGAGAGCAAGCAGGGGAGGAGCGAGAGAGAGAGACACACACACACAGAACCTGAAGCAGGCTCCAGGCTCTGAGCGGTCAGCACAGAGCCCGACACGGGGCTTGAACTCACAGACTGCGAGATCATGACCTGAGCTGAAGTCGGACGCTTAACCAACTGAGCCACCCAGGCACCCATAGATCTCTTTAAATGTGTGCACTTTAGGGATATCATGAAGATGATACTGAATGTCTACAAAATGCTGTGGATATGGAAGGTGTAAGAGATTGGCCATGGCTATGCAGTTCGAAGAGGTGTTTTAGAGGGGATTACAAAGCAGGGAGAATTTTACTCCTACGTGGAGGTAGGACAGGAACATCAGACAGAGACATGGACAACATAATCCACAAAGCAGAGTACCACTTGGGGTGAGGACATGGACAGTGTTATCATCTTACTTAAGCTGGCTGACTTGAGATGGAACTCCCCAGACAATAGCAATCTTTGCAGTCCTTGCAATCCTGAATACTTTGAGTATACCCAGAAGGTGGCAATTTTGAGCATTCAACGAGACCAGAATATGAAGCCAAGTCCTCCAAGGAGGAGAAAAATGCCCCTACCTCCACCCTCTGTTTTTTAGGGAATAAGCTCAACTGAGAATCCAGACCACTTGGAAGTGAGTCATTGTAACCTTGATGATCTGGGCCCCTTGGATCTGAATGTGACAGTCTTGTGACTAGATTTTCCAGCCCAGAGCTAATCCTTATCCAGGACCTTGAAGTGAAGGCATGAGTCAGAAGCTTCACACAGACATTGCTAGCTGGGGCCTCATAAGAATGGCATCTGCTCTCTGCCTTCCATTCTCTGCTCCAGTGAACTCAATGCAGAGATCGTCCAGGGCTACTAAATGTCTCTGGTACTTTGAACATGACTGTCCCTAGTCTGGGAGGACTCTATCCTTTAGTTCAAAACCCAGCTTGCACCTGACATCCTTCTCTAAACCGGAAGTCTTCTCTTGACTAGAATCTTCTCATTATGCTGTGAGGTTTTAAAAATCATTTCCTTTATTCCAGGCAGTGTGCTTGCCCTCAGGGGCTGGGGAGGCAGGCTTCCATACAAGAAACACTCAGGAAAGAAAGCCAACGACCAGAACTGACAACAACCATCATTTCCATCAGGCTGGGGTTGTTGAGGGCACTGTGAGAAGGATGAGCAGGATTTGGATACACAGAGCCAGGGAGGAGGCATAAACAGGCACATCTAGGAGTTCACTAAGAATGAAGCAGAGATGAATAAGCACGGGGCATAAGGAGGGCACTGAAGGAGCAGTGTAGCCGATCAGATACGTTTTGTGCTTATGATGTTTCAGGTAGTGTACTAAATGCCTTAGATTACTGAATTTAATATCACAACCCCACCTTGACATAGGTACAAAGATCCCCATCTTGCAGATAAAGCAAATGATGCACTGAGAGTTTAGGTAATTTGCTGGCAAACACAAGCTAGTAAAAGCCAGAGCTGGGATTTCAACACAGGCAATGGACCCCCCCAGAGCCCTGCTGTTCATCATTTGATGATCCTATTGATTATAAAACTGTGGTGGTATTTAACTGATACTTCAAAAAAATTTTTTTTTAATGTTTATTTATTATTGACAGACAGGGAGAGACAGAGCATGAGTATGGGAGGGGCAGAGAGAGAGGGAGACACAGAATCCGAAGCAGGCTCCAGGCTCTGAGCTGTCAGCACAGAGCCCGATATGGGGCTCGAACCCACAAACCGCGAGATCATGACCTGAGCTGAAGTCGGACACTTAACCGACTGAGCCACCCGGGCGCCGCTAACTGATTTTTAAAAAAATAGTTTAGTGACTTTCTCAAAGAATGACATGATTCCGTGTGTTTGACACAACCTTTAAATTCAGAGTGTAATTAGGGACAATGAATTTCATCATACAAAGGCTCAGATGATACAGTGCACTCTCCACAGGGGCTCCCCCAAAACACCTTAAGAACTCCTGATGTTAAGACACACGGGGTCAGATGTGCCTGTAATTTGCAGAAGGAGGGGCCTGCAAGATCCACTGAGGGCATAAGTTGCCCCCATAACACCCAGCAGAATTTCAGGTACGTGAAGTTCCATAATTGGCAAGTATTGGGGTCCAGCCTGGAAAACAGTCATCGAAATACAGAATTTGGGGGGCGCCTGGGTGGCTCAGTCAGTTAAGTGTCCGACTTTGCTCAGGTCATGACCTTGCAGCCCGGCCCGTGAGTTTGAGCCCCACTCTGGGCTCTGTGCTGAAAGCTCAGAACCTGGAACCTGATTCGGATTCTATGCTTCCTGTCTCTCTGCCCCTCTCCTGCTCAGGCTCTGTCTCTCTCTCTCAAGAAAAAACAAATTTTTTTTAAAAATCCAGAATGTGGCTCTCAATCATAAAATCTTCTCTGATAGTTTAATGTGTATTCTTCCAGATTCTGTTTAAAGCCACTTCCTCTTAGAAAGTAGCTGATTAGCATCTGCTGACTATGAAGCTATGGGGTACTTAATATCCATCACTTTTTTTCAAGCAGCAACATTACTTCTGCGCATCTTCTGTAACCATTCTATCTCACTGACCTCATCCTGGCCCAAGGGTGCAGTTTCTGACTCCTAGAAATCCCTGCCTCTTATAGGAATCTATAAACGTCCCCAAATAGAACAAACCTTTATTTTGCTTCCGGCAGTAGTTGGGCGCCCTTTCTTGTCAGCTTGCAGATTTTCCGGAAATAAAGACTTTATAAAAGGTCTGAAAAAGGAGAAAGAGAAGGGGTTAGCAATCAGTGGGTACCTCGGGGGACAAAAGCCTGCTTCTGTAGAGGATGGGAAAGAGGGCTGTCCGGAAGTACATAACCTTGGATCCAGAAAGACCATCTGACTCAAAGCACGAGCCATCAAGGTGTGACCTGGGAAATAAGCAGTGAACAGAAGAAACGGAGAAAGAATTCTAAGATAGAAGCATCTTAGTGTCTAAGCCTGAAAAATTAAATTAAAAACTCTGCATTTTGAGTTTGCCTGCTCACTAGAACAGAGGTACACCTTGGCAAGAGGACACACAGAGAGGACTGGTACCAGTTTACCGAGTTAAGTGAGACAGACCAGAGCTCAGGAAAGTGTACGAATTGTTGGGGTCCAGTGCAGATTCTGCTTTTTTTTTTTTTTTTTTAATTTTTATTTATTTTTGCAAGCGAGAGCGACAGAGCATGAGCAGGGCAGGGGCAGAGAGAGAGAGAGAGAGAGAGAGAGAGAGAGACACAGAATCCGAAGCAGGCCCCAGGCTCTGAGCTGTCAACACAGAGCCCGACATGGGCCTTGAACTCACGCACCACAAGATCATGACCTGAGCCGAAGTCAGACGCTTAACTAACTGAGCCACCCAGGTGCCCCACAGATTCTGCTTTGATTGAAAGCAGGGTTTCTCCATCTTGGCGCTATTGATACCAGGATTCAGGGCTGGATAATTCTTTGTTGGGGCGGGGAGGGTTAGGCTGCCCTACGCACTATAGAACGTTTTGCAGCATCAGTGACCTTTGCCTACTCGATGCCATTAGTACACTGCACCTCCCCCCTGCCCCTGCAAAAAACCTTGAAAAACTTATTTTAAGTAGGAGTAATTTTATGTGGAGTGATAGGAACTCACCAATTCTTTGCCAGTTGAATATATTTTCATTAGTCCGTCTAATCGAGCTGCCTTTGTTCAAATACCTGCCTCACCAGGACACAGGGCAGGGACAATGTCACCTCATTGCCCCTGGTGTCTAGAACACAGCCTCGTACACAGCAGGTACTCAATCAGTATGTGCTGAAGGACCGAATAAAGTCATCCATGTAAACCAGCAATCTGACACCAAGTTCAATTCCTCCTAAATGGCTTTTGGGCTGTCTCGAATTTTCTAGGAAGTCTCCCAACAATCTACTTTTAACTTGATCAGACATGATTATAGATTTTTGAAGCCAGTGTGTTTAATAAACAATAGACTGTGTCTATAGGACAGGAGTTTTACATGGAAGCGTCAATAGCTCTCAAAGTTGTCATAAATTTTAATAATTAAAAAAAAAAAAATCTGAAAGCATGTCTGCACCTGACTGTCATAAAACCCACAAGGCAGAACTTGTGGTTTACCTGACTTTTTAACAGGAGCAAATCGATTTTATGTGTTTTCAAATGAAAACAAATTCAGAATCTCCAAAGTTGGAGGCTTCAGGGAACTTCAGCATGGAGAGATCATGGGAAGATGAGGGCCAGGGTATGGGCGTGGGGGGAAGAGAACTAACTGGAGAAGAACAACTTCCGGCCAAAGCCTGAAAAGCATGCTTGGTTTTCTTAGAAAATGAGCAGACTTGGGGCTGTTAACTAAGGAAGTTAACCTTGATATTACAACAGTTCAAGTAACAGGAACTAAAAGGGCAGCTATTATTTGGAGGTCACTCTAAAAGTTGCAAAAGCTGGAAGACTGCGCAATATTGTGCTTGCCTGGCTTATATGGGCCTGACCATGTAAATTATTCTTTATATCCATTACCTAAGGTCTTGGGAAACTTTGCAGGGAAGAGGGGAGGGAAGGACATAGCAGGGCTGGTCCTGGGAGCTCCTGAAGGTTGTAAGGGAAATGGAGGCTCCTACTGCTCCTACCCCTATAGCTTAGACAGGGTCTCTGGAGTTAAATCTCTGAGGCAATCCCTTTTGAGCTGCTCCTCCCTAGTTTCTTGAACCATTTCCCAAGTGCTGCAGGGACACATTATCTCACATCCTGCAAAGCCATTAGCCATTAAAAAAATTGAGTGACCATGGAAAATTCTTGGGATGATATTCTAAGGGCAAAGTATCAGAGAACCAGAATGTTCCCTTCTTAGACAGTCAGAAATGGCCATCCCAACCCAACCCCAGGATAGCCACCTCTCCCTGATAATACTACTGAAAATGACGAAGCTAGGGGCCCTGAAGGCATGCACACAGCACATGGAATTAGGAGGCAGAAAGTGTTAGGGGTACATGGGATTGGAGAGGAAAAGTTATTTTGAAAAACCAAATTGTCCAATGAGCTGAAAGGAACAAAGTGCTGACCACTAACTGCCACAAGCTTTTTCTTAAATATTGAAAATTTTATCAAACCTACATCCCATGTCAGGTAAGGTAAAACACACTTACAGCTCACTGCTCTGCATAAGCTCGATCAGATCCATAAACAGCACGTCACGGTTCCTTTCACAAAAGCCATCCATGTCATAAGATACCTGGCCAAGAACAGAAAGAAATCTAATTTTATCCTGTAAGTATTTCATTGAACAAAAAAATCCAAGTTGGCACGGCTATTCTTACCAGAGTGTGAATATTTCCAGATGTACAATTGGGATTTCATCATGAACTGTCACATTAAGGCTGGGCATGTTTTATTTAACTTGTTAGCTGACTTAGGTGGTGATGGTCTGTGGATGCTGATGGATGTAATCCGCTGCCTACATGGCTCAGATGATCTATGACCAGGACGTCAGCTACCACGATCACATAGCCCTTCTTCAGTGAAGCCATGGGAGTATCTAAGTAATAAACTGAATTCTTTCCCTAAATTTTCACTACAACAGAATAAAATAAAACTCCTTTTGCTCATTAATCCATTGCAATGGAGCACGTCATCTGAGTGCAAATTTTTTCTACAAATGGTGTCACAATTAGATCAATTCAGCCAAAAAATCATGCTCAGGGACCCTGGTGAACAAGAAATTAGATGGGTGAAAGGTGAGACCAGTGGATTTTCCATAGGACTAGAAGACTCTAAATATCATGACCTCAACTTACTTTGTATCACTGGCACCTAGACAAAGCCTGGTAACCAGCAGGCACCTGATGACCATGCGTCTTATGAAAACAAACATCAAAAGCAAGCCTTATTTACAGATCAGGGATACAGGCTTGTGACTGCAGCAAGAGGCAAGACACAAATCCATTCCTTCAGCAGGGTGATTCACGATTTAAAAACATGCAGTTGTGTATACAATCCTTTGTACTGCCTTTGCACATACTTCATATGTCCCATGCTGTTGAATGAATGAATGAATGAATGCTGAGTGAATAAAATACAGTGAAGCAGGTGAAACTCTAGGGATATTGTTATCAGTTGGCTCATGAGAAAACAGATCACAGACCCAAAGGCTTAAAACATTAAGGTAGGTGTTGGAAAGGGTAACTTCTCCTTTCCCATGGTACCCTTGCTCTCTGGACATACCTTCCCAGCATAATGGTGAATAATGAAGCCTTGGTTCCAGCTGTTGAAGTGTTCGTGATTCCCAATCTGCATCTGAAGTTTCTGCAGCAGGGTCTGGTCCGCCCCCTCCCCCACTGCATGCATCGTGGCACACACATCGTCCAGGATGCTCATGATCCCAGGAGGGTTCTGGTGGTACCAAGAAGACAAAGTCCCAATTCAGTGACTGTTTAAAGCCCCAGTTCCGTGGCTTATGGGGTCTTTTCTTGAGCAAGGAAATAGTTCCCTAGACTCAAGATACCATCTTGAAAATCAGTCTTTCCCTCTGAGCAAAAATGCCATTAATGGGAGTTGCCACTTAGATCTAATGATGGAGGAAGTCCATGTAAAAAAAAAAAAAAAATTGCTTAACTTACCAAAGTTCTATTCAGAGTCATACACAAATCACTATCTGCTGACTCCTATTTGTACTAAGTTGATTTTCAAAACCCAAAAGAAAAATGAAAACATTTTCCTTTGACCTTAATTCATTTCTTAATATTCACTTTCAGCCTGTTACCCACAGAGGCATGGTTGACACAGTTACAGACTCTACACATTCTATGTGTGACTTTTTTTTCACACAGCACTGTTTTATAAACAGTCTTCATGTTTTACACAGTCTTCATACTTAATATTTTAATGGCTATATTTTGCTGCTCTGCTATGCTATAGTTTATTCAACGACTGAATTGTCTTCGGATGTTTTTACAGTTTCCCGTTTTGGACTTTTATAAAACCAAACCAAAACAAAACAGTACTGTGGAGATCTCTGCCTACATCTCTGTTGTTTTCTCTTGGTGAAAATGTATAAATGGTCAGAAGGCAGAGCCAATTTTATGTCTCTTCATACCCTATGCCATCCACGTTAGTTCTCACTGTCTCCTCTCAGAAGTCAGTAATAACTTCCAATTGTAAATTGACATTCTATTCATATATACATGTTGGTATTACTACACATAAGTCTATACACAAAATTGATGCAATTGTAAACATTCTCTGCAAATCAGAGTTGTCACTTCCCCCATCCTAAAACAATGACACAGAGAACAGAAACCTACTCGACGTAAACCTGTGTGCAGTGAAGGGACACAGCAGACTGATACTTACAACTTTGTTCTCTATGAGGTCACACACGATTTTGTTATTAAAGTACTCAATGGGTGTCCATCTTATTCCCTCCTGAACATACTCTTCCTGAGGGACAGAAAGCGAGAATTTACATTACTACCCGGTGAAGGCTAGTTGGAGGTCAACACAGATGACTATCAGAGGCACACAGGTCACCATGAAAGAGAAATTTGAATGCCCTTCAACATACAATGGGAATTTTCTTTATTTTTCTAAGAGGGATAGAAAAGGGACATTTCATTGCTTGGTAATTTTTTTTTTTTTTTTTTTTTTTTAAGTAAACTCCATGCCCAACACAGGGGTCTACCTCACGACCCAGAGATCAAGAGTCACATGCTCTACTGACTGAGCCAGGCAGGTGCCCTATGCTTAGTAATTTTTATATTCAGTTTGAACCATATGAAATTTATTACCACACTATTGTTTTTGATATACAAACAATAGCAATTTAATATGGCTTAACCCACAGGTCAAGTTACAAAATTATCTCTTTGAATTTAACCTACGAACAGCAGTACAGATTAGTCCTTAGACACTCAAGGGCTCGTCCCTCACTTAAGCCTGCTGCTCACTTAACTTGATGAGCACCACCCCATTCTCCTGGTTTCCCTCCTTCTTCACCAGTCTTGCTTTGTTAGCTTCTTTCCAGATCTTCATATGATGGGGAGACCCTGGGCTCCATCTTTCAGCCCTTCCTCTATTCTCAGCCCTGCTTCTCCAGAGGATTTTAATCAATCCCACGGTTTTAAATAGCACCTGGAGGCTAATGACGCCCAAATTTATTTCTCTGGTCTAGACCTCCCCACCGAGTTCCAGGGTCATGACATTTATATTAGAGTCTGTGTTCAGATGTGTCACAAGCCTTACAAATGTAACTTGTTCAGTGGAGTTCTGATTCTGCATTTCCCCACCATTGCCAACCAACTGTTCTTCTAGTCTTACTCTTCAGTATATAGCCTCACCATTGGCCCTATTATTCAAGCAACAAGGGTAGAAATCAGGAAATCGTCTTTAATTCCTCTTTCCTTCTTAGCTCATTGCTAATTATTTTGAGCATGTGACATTGACTCTCTTTCTAAAATACATATCGAATTGGACCACCTCTCACTGTTCTACCACCTCTACTGCTATCATCATCATCTACACCCCCATCATTTCTTTCCCAGTCTCTTAACTGGTTTTTAAAGTTTCACTCCTTTTTTCCCCCCCAATGTTTACTTTTGAGAGAGAGAGAAAGAGAGAGACAGAGCGTGAGCAGGGGTGGGGCAGAGACAGAGGGAGACACAGAATCCAAAGCAGGATCCAGCTTCTGAGCTGTCAGCGCAGAGCCCGATGAGGGGCTCGAACTCACAAACCATGAGATCATAGTTGAACACTTAACCAACTGAGTCACCCAGGCGCCCCTCAACTTCCACTCCTGTTTGCCTTCCCCTCATCTCACTCTAGAAGTCTATAGAGCCTAAGTAATCTTTTCAAAAACACAAAGCAGACCAGGTCACTCTCTGCTCAAAACTCCCCCAGGGTTTCCCGTCATACTTACTATAATATCTGAAGCTTCCACCGCGCCCTACAACATTCCTGTATGATCTAGCCTCTGCCTACTTCATCCGGTCTCAGCCCTACCACGCCTTCCCCTGGCTGTTCTGCTCTAGCCGCTCTGATGTGGTGGAAGGCTACAACACCAGGGCAGGGGTTTATGTGGAAACCACTGGTCCCTTCCATGACTTAATGTCCCCCCAAATAACCATTCATATGTGCAGCAGGTTGCATGTGTCCCCTGAGATTTCATGTCCGCCTAAAACTTCAAAATGTGAGGTTTGGAAATAGGATCTTTGCGATATATTTAGCTAAGGATCTTGAAAATGAAATAATTCTGGAGTTAGGGTGGTCCCTTACTCCAGTGACGGGTGTCTTTACAAGAGAAAGGAGAGGGAGATTTGGGCGAAGAGGGACACAGAGAGGGAAAGAGCATGTGAAGGGAGAGGCAGAGACTGGAGTTGCTGACATAGGACAGAGACACCAGGAGCCACAGAAGCTAGAAGAGGCAAGGAAGGAGTCTGGTCCTAGTGACCCTCTGGTTTCAGACTCAAGCTTTCTGAACTATGAGAGAAGTGATGTCTGTTGTTTTAAGCCACTCTGGGGGCGCCTGGGTGGCGCAGTCGGTTAAGCGTCCGACTTCAGCCAGGTCACGATCTCGCGGTCCGTGAGTTCGAGCCCCGCGTCAGGCTCTGGGCTGATGGCTCGGAGCCTGGAGCCTGTTTCCGATTCTGTGTCTCCCTCTCTCTCTGCCCCTCCCCCGTTCATGCTCTGTCTCTCTCTGTCCCAAAAATAAATAAACATTGAAAAAAAAAAATTAAAAAAAAAAAAAAAAAAAGCCACTCTGTTGATGGTACTTGGTTACAGCTATCCTAGAAATCCAGAACAACATGGTATCCAGATTAAAAGCGAACTTGCATGGAACTTTGAGCAGAAACTGTAAGTAAGACATGTTACTTCACATTAGAATGAAAAACACCAGCTTTTTCTGTATTTAAGGAAGATTGGGAGTCGAGCGGATCTGAGAAAATCAAGTTTTTCCTTTGGAACACAGTCCATGCCATAGACAATTGGGGTTGGAACTGGGTTTCCATTTTCCACTCGGTCAATGAGTCAGAGTAGTAAAAGCAGCCAGTAAGAAGTCCAATTTCACAACATCATTTGCTTAAAGGAGAAAGAAACTGTAGCAGATGGTGTTTACAATTCATAGACTAAAATGTCACAATGGCATATGGTTTTTCTGTCTGACTTTATTAAGTACGTTTCCTAATACAAGGCTAAAAGTTGAATCTAGTAAGAAAAGAGAGACATTTATACCTTTTAAACGAAACAAGTTAGAAATCAAATGAAACAAGAGCGACTGCTTACCTGTTCTGCCTTTAATGTCAGTTCAATAAAAATCTGCTGTAATTTTTCATTAACAAAATTGATACAAAACTGCTCAAAGCCATTTTTCTAGAAGAAAAAAAGGTTACTTGCATGTAATTGTTACTGCAAAATCATTATGAAGTCATTTCTTAAGTGATTTAGTGAAATGTTTCAGTGTGAAAAGTCTTAACAGAAATGTTGGAGGCATCAGTAGACAGCAACATAGTTTATATTTAGGGGAAACTAATTCAGTAAAGGTACATGAAGAACGTACAGAGGCAAAAATGAACTGCAGTGGGTTCCCCCCCCCCCCCCCCCCCCCCCCCCCCATTACCTAGAATTCTTTATTTCAAGCCAGATGAAATGCATCACCCTCCCGGGGCCCCAGATATTCAAAATGGTCTTACCTGGAATATTTCAAAGCCATAGATGTCCAGGACACCAATGTTGTATTCTTCATGGTCCTTCTCCATTGCTTTGTTGATGGACTACGAGAAAGTAACCAGCATGGCAATTAACTTTTCTTTCCTATTAGAAAGGGACATGCATGCGGGAAAGGAAAGCAAGACTGTACACAGCAAATTCTACTGCCTGCTGGAAACAGGATGGCAAGACGAGAGATGATTTGCAGCTTAAAAAAAGAGTCTTGGTGCAAGGTCAAGTACTCGGGGAAACCACCAGGATGCAAAAAAGCTACTGTTGCTTAATGATGAAAGCCATTAACTTCTGGCACTTAGTTTTTCTCAGGAAGTCTAGAGAACTGGAAGAAAATGTCATCTTGGATGATTAAAGTCAAACCTATTTCATATAAAAAACCACTAAGACAACATCCATAAATATTATTTCTGTTGATCCTGTTCAGGAGCCATTTAATGCTTCCGTAACACAGCATGGGGTGGGGGGGGGGGATATCAAGGCAGAGACAATCTCTGTTCCCAGGAGCTTATAGAGAGGGTGAGCCAGCTACAGATAATAATGCCAGTAATTATTATTAAAGTGATAATAATAAAAGGAGCCTCTGTGTATTTACCATTCACCCGTGGCAGGCTTTGCTCAGTGCTTTCCATGTGTTTCCATTAATTCTTGCTACAATTTTCCCAACAATGGCGATAACATTAGAATCCCTAAGCCTGCCATGGGCTAAAGGCAGGGTCTAGGGGTCAGGGCTAGTGTTCTGGATCACTGTGAGAAGGGATGCGCAAGCCAATGGCTAGACTTAACAAGAGAGGGTGGGTGCAGGTTCTAGGGGCTTGGGGACGGCTGCAGGGCAGGGAGGAGCACAGGAGAAAGGTTCCTGGAGGTGGTGAACACCTGGATGAATATGGAAGCACGAGAAGTGTTCTCCAGGCCAAAAAAATGATGTGGCATCTTTTGTGAGCTAATGGGTAATGACACACAACACTTAGCCCAGGGCCTGGCACATGGTCAATGCCCAGTAAATGTCCGCTCGAATTACATGGGGCATCCGTCTGCTTTCACCACACAAAACATAAAGGGCAGGCAAAAAGGAAATAAGGTGGTAAGTCTAGCACTGGAAGGCACACTGAATAAAGAGACAAGAGATGTGGGTTCTATGGTCAATTCTGCACCACTCTCTTGCTGAATGGCCTTGGGCAGATGCACTAGTACTTAGGCTTAAGATTCCCTTGTCAATAAAATGAGGAGTCTGGACAAGTAAAAAGCATGACTAATGTTTAGTATGACCCTGACCTTCCACAAGAAGTACACAGAATAATTACCCTATCCTGCCCTGCCCTACTCAACCCTAACCACACCTAACCACACTTTAAGCCATATAGGTGGTGGCTGGATTCAAACACAAACTGTTTGGATCTAATGGGCATATTGTTGTTCTTTGACTAGGGTCACCCTAGGGTTCTTTCTAGCTTTAATATATAAAAGACAGAGAAGCAGAATATAGCTAGAACACTGTCAAATCACTTGGGTATAGTTCCTGGATTTGTCACTTAATAGTAGCGTGACTTTGGGGAAGTTCCTTAGCGTCTCTGTGCCCAAGTTATCTGTAAAATAGGATAATAATACCCCAGTCACATGGTTGCTGTAAGAATGACGTGAGTTATTTTTTCTAAAATACTTAGAATGACATAGTAAGGGCTATGTAAGTGTTTGCTATTACTATTCTACCATTCAGAGGCTATGGCGATTAAGAGACTGTCACTGGCAGTTCTATACTTCTGAAAGACTAATTTTCAGAATCTGTGATAGATAGATAGATAGATAGATAGATAGATAGATAGATAGAAGTATATGTGATTATGCCATTATAAAAACAGCCTGTGATAGTTCTAAAATATATCTAAAGTCTTTGACATGTTTCCCTTCAAAAGGTAGAACCTAATTCTCCTCCCCTTAACTGTGGGCTGTACTTAGTGACTTGCTTCTATTGAGTAGAGTACGGCAGGGTGTCAATATTTCAGTCCAAGGTTACAAATTAAAAGATTTCTGGCTTCTTCCTTATTCTCTCTCTTAGATCACTCATTCTGGGGGAAACCAACTGCCATGTTGTGACAATCTTCAAACATCCCCAAAGAAGGCTCATGTAGCAGGGATGTGAGTCATCTTGCCAACAGCCATAGGAATGTACCATCTTGGAAGTAGATCTTCCAACTCTAGATGGAAGACTAGTAGTTCCAGTCAAGATCTTGACTTTAGCCTCGTCCCTGAATCAGAATCACCAAGCTAAGTCACTTCCTGCAGCAACTGTGACAGAATAAATGCTTATTGTTTTAAGCCACTAATTTGGGGCTGATGTGTAACACAGCAATATTTAACAAATACAGTATTCTAAAGCTTTAGGCTCGAAAGTCAACAAAGTTTCATGACCACGGGTCTCCCCTTTTTCTGTTCTATAGTTCTGGCTTTACTGAGTATTTTGTCCAGAAGAAGCTGTTACCATATTAGCATCTTGCTGGGCAATTCTAGAAGTAAAAGTGGGATTCAGTGATCCCAGGGTAAAAGAATAACAGAGGAGTAAGCATTATAATGGTTATAAGGAATAAGCCAAACATGAAAACAAAGCCCTTAGTGATTTTCATAGCTAAAATGTGAACTTGTGATTACTTACATCTACCAAGAAATCAAAGACCCGGGCGTGCAGGGCCTTCGCAAGTGCATCCCTGGTGTAACAGGCCTGTTCCACGTTGAGGGTCACGTGGATGGACTCTGACTTGCCTCCCCACTTACTATCCATCTGCCGGCTTGTGAGCTTCTCTTTCAACCGGTCCTGGTTTATCCCCAGGAGATATGCAGGAAAAGCCAAAACTATAGAAAACAAAATAAAGCATGATTTCTTTCAGAATTTTAACAATTCACTTCACAAACATGTGCAGGCATTTGTGTGTGTGTGTGTGTGTGTGTGTGTGTGTGTGTGTGTGTGTGCATGTGTATGGGTACACATGTGCACATACAAGACACCATCATTGGCCCCCCAAAACTTTCACTCTACTGAAGACTGCTTATCAGCAGTCCCACACACATCCATCCACTTTGTTTTTCTCAATTGTTCTATTACATGAGTCAATTCCTATGATGACTGAAACTTCCAATGATACAAATCAGTGATCCAAGAAGGATGGCGAACCAATCTCCCCTACTGAGATCCCAGTTAAATGCCTAAAATGGACATCTTTCCAAGCTTGCAGCAAGGCAGCCCGGAAGGAACTAAATCAAGAGACATTTCTTTGGCTCCAAAAATTGTTTTCTTCCTTTCTGGTATGGTGTTTTCATAGCATCATTCCCAAAAATGTTGAAGCACCTGGTATCATGGATCTAACAATTACAAGCAATCAGATATTTACTGAATGCTTACCACATGTAGTGTTACTAGAGAGGACAGAACACAAAATATTAAAAAATCTTGAAGACCCATCTAGTTGAGGCCTGGACACTGTACCAAATTCAGAAGCTTACTAAAAGCTGAATATGTAATACAGGCCGACAATAGAGTCCTAGAGGAATTGAGAACAGGAAGCTGTTACAACTTGCTGGGGTAGTCAAGGAAGATGTGGGATTTGGGTGGGGCCTTAAAGGATGAACAGGATTGGGGCATCTGGGTGGCTCAGTCAGTTAAGCACCTGACTCTTGATTTCAGTTCAGGTCATGACCTCATGGTTCATGGGATCGATCCCTGCATCGGGCTTTGTGCTGACAACACAGAGCCTCCTTAGGATTCTGTCTTCCTCTCTCTACCCACTCCCATCTCCCCTTCCCCCCCACCCCACCCCCTGGGTCACAAACTCTCTCTCTCAAAATAAATTTTTTTAAAAAAGGACGAACAGGATTTGCACAGAAGCAGAGGAAGAGAGAGGCGAGGGGAGGGCAATGGGACATGCACAGGTGTGGAAGCAGTGAGTTAGGACACACGGGTCAAGGTACAGCAAAGGGCCCAACATTGGCTACAGCTGAAAGTTAAGGTAGGTGATTACAAGGTCGCGGTGAATTCCGCGACCACAGGGGAGGTCCTTGAATGGTATATGAAATTTGGCCTGGAGTCAAAGGGGGCCTGGATGGCTTCTTGTGTGTGGGAGGGGGTGGTTTATAAGATTTCTCTGAGAGACGTGTCTGGAGCGAAATGGAGAGCATCGGTGTTATTCATGTCACAGCACACCCATCCCATCCTAAGGACATGTAGTAACATAGTTTTGGTCTTCGAATAGAAGAGCTGAATGGATGGCTTAGTAACTTATTTTAAGCCATGGAACTTGCCAAGAGGAGGGCTCATGATATAAATGGATTTTCTTGATTTCTGCTCAAGACACTGTAATGTGAATAAGCGACACCATGCTGGGTCATGAAAGAATGCTCAGATTTTTTGCAGTATGAATGAAAGATTTACATGGACACAAATCCAAACTCTAAACCTGGGTAGCAGTCTTCTTTTTCTGCATAAAACTGTATCAAAAGTTTCTGATAAAAGGATTTTTGTCAAAGACTTCATGATAATGCTCAAAAATCACAAGCCTCCCAATAAAGGATAATCTGAATTTCACAGATGGTGTTAGAATGAACGGGCTGACATTTTCAGTATATACCTTCCAATGATATTAAGTCAGTGAATGCATTTTGAAGAAGTGTAATGCCAGAACAAGGTATTTATTATCTATGCTAGCGTTCCACAGAAGTGCTCTGACTAGTAGAAGGGCTTCCTTTTACAAAGGGCACGTGAACAAGATCAAGTGCACTCATTTGCCAATGGCCATTTCCTTTAGTTTGGTTTTAATGTTAGCACATATGTTTAAGAATCTGGATGTGTCTTGGGAATGCAAGCTGGTGCAGCCACTCTGGAAAATAGTATGGAGGTTCCTCAAAAAACTAAAAATAGAACTACCCTACGACCCAGCAATTGCACGAATAGGCATTTATTCATGGGATACAGGTGTGCTGTTTCGAAGGGAGACATGCACCCCCATGTTTATAGCAGCACTATCAGCAATAGCCAAAGTATGGAAAGAGCCCAGATGTCCATCGACGGATGAATAGATAAAGGAGATATGGTATATATGTACAATGGAGTATTACTCGGCAATCAAAAAGAATGAAATCTTGCCATTTCCAACTACGTGGATGGAACTGGAGGGCATTATGCTAAGTGAAATTAGTCAGAGAAAGACAAAAATCATATGACTTCACTCATATGATGACTTTAAGAGACAAAACAGATGAACATAAGGGAAGGGAAACAAAAATAATATAAAAACAGGGAGGGGGACAAAACAGAAAATACTCTTAAATATGGAAAACAAACTGAGGGCTACTGGAGGGGTTGTGGGAGGGGGGATGGGCTAAATGGGTAAGGGGCACTAAGGAATCTACTCCTGAAATCATTGTTGCACTATATGCTAACTAATTTGGGTATAAATTTTAAAAAATATAAAATAAAATTAAAAAAAAAGAAATAAAAAAAAAAGAATCTGGATGTGTCTTCCACTAAAGTGAAACTTACCTTCGCACAGAGCAAGAACATAAGATGTCCATAATAACTCAGACTGGACATGTGCAGTGTTGGTGTGAGAACCAAGAGACATTTACCGAAGTGACACAGAAGAGGACTTTACTAAGGCGAAGCTACAATGTGGGTTATTATCACCATTGCCAGGCAGTTAGGCACATACACGCATCACTTAATAAAGTGGATATTATTAGCAATGGCCCCTCACTGTTTATGGTAACTATGCAGTGAATACCTTGATATAATGAATAATTAGCTTCTATTTGTATATCCTGTAAATATGGGCTTTTCCCAAGCCCCTAACCATGCTAAAATAGGGACACAATTCAAATGCTTGGTAAAAATGTTTACGCCCTTATCTCTATGATCTCAACTAAAGAAACACAACACTAGGGGCTGAGTCCTCGGGTCCTTATCTGAGACTGAAAAAGAGACATGCTAACTTCCGTGTCTCCCACTGCTTCTATTAGAAGAAGACAGGAGTGCCGGACCACAGGCACTTGAAAAACAAGGCATGGAATCTGGCCAAGAATCAGAGCCACAAGCTTAGGGAGAGGAAATCTAGTACTTGCTTTGAAAAAAAATCCATGCCATGTTTTTCAAATACAAGCTTTTATGGCCTTGTATTTTCTTCAGAGGCCTGCCCCGGTGCTGAAATCACAGGGCTGCTCATACTGACTGCCTTTGGGCTGTGAATTTCCATGAGGGTGTGTGCAGGTGTGGCTGAAGAAGAGCGTCAGTGCAGAAGCTTGGAGGCTGTGGGGAGGGAAGGAGGGTGGAGGCATCGATTAATTTCAAAAAGCTGATAATAACCCCGGTAATGTTCATCAGAGTTATGCAGAACATAAAAGAACCTGCTAGGAAGCAATGTTTCAACGCATTTTGATAATGAAAATAGAGTTCTCTTATTGCATTAAAGTGTAAAGCAAAGTTCGATTTAATTTTTCTGTTTACATCCAAAGTACAGAGAAGATGAACTAAAAAGATGTAGCAAAACAAAATTCTGTTTTACAAATACAAAAGAAATGGCAAGGTACATGTGGTCTGTCTTTGGTGGTGAAGTTCTCTGCTCTCTCTTTTTTTCTATCCCAAGTTTTTATTTAAGTTCCAGTTAGTTAATATACAGTGTAATATTAGTTTCAGGTGTAGAATTTAGTGATTACTGTGCTTTCTAATCCATTGGTAAAAGGAGCGAGGCTGTCCCTTAGTACTTCAGGTAGTTTTTACATAGTAATTTTTTTCTTTCAACAAAATCCAAAGGTGATTGTCTTTGAAGGAAGACTTGTTTCCAAAAGTATGTCATCTTACTATAGAGGTTATGACAGACACACACGTGCCTAACGTGAGGTTTGTTTGACTTCTCAGCAGTGTAAAGGTCTGACTCAGGAAATTCCATAGCTCCATTGGTCTAAGGTCAGGTTAACAGCAAAATCTGTCATCCCTGATGGCTGTTTTGCTTTATTAGGTAAGGAATCTTACCATTTTTTACTATAATAGCCGGAGAATGTCTGCTTTCTTCTGCTATAAGAACACGGGCTAACACTTCCCTCTAAAAATTTATTCCATGAGATAGACTCAAACATGAGTTATTCACTTTAATGTGTTCCTTCAGTACTGTAATAGCATCAGTTCTAAAACCACCTTCACACCCACCAACAGATGCCTGATTCAATAAAAGTATACGTAGCCAAACAACCGAATACTATGCAGCTAAAAAGGATGAAGCTCCTTAATGGACAGAATAATCTTCAGGATATAATAAGTGAACAAGCAACTGTAGAACATTACGTTTAATGCTCCCATTAATGCACAAAAGTGAGAAGAAGAATGGCCAAGTGCAGTTGCTCTGAAAGGAATACAAGAGACTGGAAACCACGGTCCCCTCAAGAGAAGGGAACAAGTGGATGAGCAGAAGGGTAGGTGAGAGCACTGTACTGAGGTAATGACTCCTGTGAAGAAAGGTATACCAACTGAGCAGGAAACAAATTATCAGAAGGAGGGCCCAATTCTTTGTTAGATCTCTTCGGTCTCAAGCACAGCCTTTCCTGATCTCTGTCAGTCCACCACCTCCAATCAGGGCACATGTCAACGCAGTTGGTTGCCAATCCTGGGCCTTGCCCAGTTGGCTGAGGAGGCTACTTCCTCCGGACATCAATGTGCAATGAACCACTTCTTGGCTCAAGCATACGGGGGCATGCTTGCTGTGACAGAGTGGTTTTGTTCTCCAGCATAAAGAAGTGATAAAAGAGTGTACTATCCAAGAAAGAGAAATTCAGTCTACTTCCCCAGCAACCACACTGTCAACGTTAAAAGGACAAGTGTTAATGACCCTCCTGGATACATATGCACATTTGTTAAATGTGATGGAAAACATACGTAAGTCTAGAAATATTGTTATTAGGTCCTGTTTCTAGACTTTATGCACACCCATATATTTACTGTTTTCTACCCCGCTCCCTTCCCTGGTCAACATGATTCATCTTTCTCTTTATCGGATAGACATCAGAAGTCAGCAGAACTTCCCTCTTTTATCACAAAAGAAAACAAAGATATAAAACAAGGACCTTATTTGGAATGGAAATAGCCTCCCTGCGTTGTCAGCAATGAGTGGGATACTATTTATTGCTAAGCATCTAAATTTATCTCCCTGGAAGAATGCTGAGAAAGGAAGAAATGTCCTCCTGGGTGGCTGACGGCTGTGTGGGTTCTGAGAGCCGCCTGGAGAGCCAGCTGATGCCTCAGAGGCTGAAGTCACCCAACACGGTGCTTGTGGCCAACTGTGGCATGCACAACCAATAACGTGTCTCTGCGGGAGGGACCGACTTCTCAAAGAGTACACACGATCGTTCAGGTCTTCAGGCTTCTGACTACCACAGAGGTGACCGTGAAAGATGATCTCAGGAATATCGACACAACAGCCAATGCCCCTGCCCCCTGCTTTTTTCCCCCTGTTTTCAGAATCCAATCTAAGCCAACCCACAGGTGAGCTCAATCTGTGAGCTTTCCTTATTGACATATACCTGATCATTTGCTCTTTGGGACCTTTAGGTGGAGGTAGACCCTCAAGGCCAGTTATTAGGAGACAAATCTTTTGGATTATTTAGCTATTAACTCTAATCTTCATTAAAATCTCACTTTGGTTTTAAACCTAGATGTAAAATTCTGCCAGACTCCCCCAAGGGTGATGGTAAACTGAAACGGAAATGATCTCATGAATGGTCTACTGGTGTGGGACATGGTGAGGAGGGCAGGTGCACAGGAGAGGCCCAGACTCTCTTAAGCCCATTTGCTCTGTCTCAGCAGGACACAAGACTCCTCATCTTTTCCCTAAATCCTCGGCTGACACCTTAGCAAAAGGAAAACGGCAGGCAGCTTCTGACGGAAGCTAACTGATTGTTCACCCACATTCAACCGCCGTCCAATGCCGGAGCTACTCACACTCCTCACTCTCCACAGCCGCATAATTGCCAACTTCCTTGAAGCTGATGTTCCCCAGGTGGAGGACCCCTGCCACTATCTGTAGGACCAGCGTCTGCTCCTCGGCGAAGATCCCGATCACGTTCATCGCGTGCTGGGAGAGAAAAGAGAAATGATCCAGATGAGCTGGTCGCCAGCTTTGTAAGCATGTGATAAAGAAGCCAGAGCTGAGATTGAGTTGTGTAGAGTCACACGGGGCTTGGCTGGCAGTGGCAGCTGGAAGGCCTTGTAGGTCACCGTCACTGACCGACACACTCACGTGAGAAGACTGAGTCGCGTTGGAAAGGCAGTTCTGTCTTTAGATCCAGTACATGATCCCCCGGGGGTAAGGGCAGGAGAGCTCCAGGAGCAAAGATACAGGGAGCAGCAGCTATACCCCACAGTCACCAACCTGTCCTTGTCTCCTGTGGAGCCCTTGATGCCACCCGCCTCTCTCCAAGGGCACCAATGTCCCCTTTCCAGCTACTCCAAGGAGACCTTGGAGACCTTTCGCCTCACCAGGAGGGCTGAGCATAGACTGTACTTGCGAAAGGATCTTGATTATGAATCTCCAGCAAATCAAATAAAAGCGTTGTTAGAAAAGTTTTGCTTCTCAGGTTTGTTAAATTAAGTAAAAACAGCCAAAATGCCGAGACTTATTTATCGGAGTCCTAAGAGAACAATACGCAAGGACCAATGCAGGCCTCTCATCTGCATTTCTTCTCCCAGCTCCTTTGAGGTCATCTGGCCCCTTGATGCTGTCTTCATTCCTGCACCTGCCTGAGCAGCCTGCCCCCTCCAAACAGCTCCCCTCCAACTGCACCCCGACTTGTCCTGTTGGGGTCCCCTTCTTGCGCCTGGGTCTGGGCTGAGGGATGGGCCTGGCAGAAAGCTGACTCAAAAGGCAGAGGTGGTGTGGTTCTTTGAGGTTCTTTTGGGTGAACACCCCAGCTCCAGAAAGTTCTAGATTGACTTATTAACTTGTTTCCCTGAAGACGTGACCCCTCGATGAGGTAGCTAATTTCATACTTCGTATCACAACATGCACGCAGAGTGAAGGACATGGAGTTAGAGGGTCGCCCTCTGACCGTTCAGTGCAGGGGTGAAGGGAGAGCACTGGACCAGCCCCTGAAGGTGTTGGAAAAGATCAGAAGGGTGGTCTTTGCTTCACCTGTCTGAGGAAACAGCTCAGCAACTGCATAAGCTCTAGGCAAACAGGGATGGTAAATCTATTACCTGCAACAGTGCTTACCAATTCATCAGAGCACCTGCCGGGGGAGGGGAATGAGGAATTCACGTTTTTATCCATTTCAACTTATTAAGTGGTCCTCTGGCACCTGGGCACATGGCTATGGAATGGTGCTTAAGCGCGTTTAAGGAAATGCAATGCTTACGGCAGAATGAGGTGGAAATTCCATGCTGCTCTCTGCTTGGTTCACCCTCCCTGCCCTTTCTAGCACAGGCAACACTGGGTCCGGAGAGTCCATCCTGCCTGGCCCCGTGCCAGCACTTACCAGCGTTTCCTGAAATTCCCGCCTGTCGTCAATGTCATCCACCTGGTAGGACCCAGAGAGGTTCAGGTAGCAGTAGTAGTCCATGCTGGTGATGCCGAGGCTGTGTTTCTGCTCTTCAGAGGCGCCCTCGATGAGCTGGAGCAAGAGGAAGCGGGGCGGGGGGGGGGGGGGGGGGGGGGGGGGGGGGCTGTAGGGCTGTAGTGTGGCCCACCACCCAGAGGCACCAGAGGCAGCACTCCCGAGCCCAGGTAGTGTGCACTTTCTGACCCCGCCTTCTAAAATGATGGGTTTCAGGATAGCTGCTCCCCTTGCAGTAGCCCCAGATCATGTCTGCAAGTTCTAATTCTCAACTCTGGTAAGACCCGCAAGAGCTGAGAATTTCCCCTTGTCCAATAAAGAGAATCACAGTGCGGCGCTCGCGAGACCCTCAGAAGAGTGGAAGAGAAGCCAGATTGTAATTATTTCGTTCCTACTCAACTTGCTTTTGGCTTTATAAAGTGCGGCGGCCCCTCTATGCTTCTCTCTGCAGGATGCAGAGAAAACAGCAGCCCCGGGTCCCGCTCCCTGCCATTCTGAAACCTCCTAACCAGTGCGCTGTCCCACAGCTTTCTGTTCCATCTCTGACCCTTGCCTTAGGTCTGAGCAAGACCCTCTTAAAGGGCTCCCATCCGTGGTGTGCTAGAAAAATATTCAATAATCAACTCTAGAGGAGAAAAATGGATGTGCAGTGTTTGCCGAATGTCATGGTGTGAATACTACCACGACTGATTTCAAACTCCCAAGAAAATACCACTGAAGGAGGAAGTGGGGGGAGAGGCACACGGCCCGTGCAAGCTGACTCCAGCAACTGCCAGCTCCAACCCTGCAGGATTTAGGAAAACAGAGATAGCCCAGCCACACTTCTGCATCTTGGTCAGGTTCCTCAACACGTCCTCTCAGCTCCACAACCCGAGAGGATGGAACCTCACGTCCATTACAGATAAGTTCTAGGTCACCCATAACATCAGGGTCCCTTAGCTTTCCTCCGTCTCCTCAAAAGAGCTTTGTGTCACCCCCTTCCTAGTTTTCCCCTTCTGTTTCTCCCCCCCATTCACACCACACTGCCCTTCATTTGCATCTTCACCCCCCCTTCTCAAGTCTCTCCCATCTACAGACACGTGCTGCTCTTTGCCGTAAGCCTTTCCTTGCCTCTGAACTTGTGCAAGTCGCAGAATCTACTTCCTCATCACGCGCCAGCCACCTGGAAGAATGAAGTGCCATCATCTGAGACAGCTGTCGAATTGAAAAGACTGTGTTTGAGCTCCCAACACAGTTTAACTTCCTTCTAATCCAGCGATCTTCAAACGATAACAAAGTAAAACTAACACAAAAAAGAGCCGCAGGTCTTTCTTCGAAGAAATTCTGAGCTGGGCCCCCAATGTATATGCTAATATATAAGCCCATACATAAAGAAATTGTTTTGGGTATCATTATATTTCTTAAATACTTAAAAACATTTTTTTTTAAAGTAGTTGAATCTGAGGATTCCTGAAACCTTGGGACACAATCTAAAAGCACCCTGCACACTGCTTTAGCACCAGACTCTGTGACCGTTCTGGGCACCCAAGTCAACACTTCATGACCTGGGGTTAAAGATCCTTAGTCTTTCCTCTGATAGCTCCCCTCCGGGAGACTTCCACCCTTGCCACCTACCTGGTTGAGGCCCGGCCATCACCTCCACAGTTTTGTTCGGGCCACCTGACTTGCCCAAGCAGCCTCCCCACCACGTTCCCCTATGTGCCCTCAATAACTCTCCTTAGCATCTCAGCCATAGCTCCCTGCGTGAATTCCTGTCTGGCAAAGAACCCAGCACTCCTACTTTTGTTTTGAAGTGATATTAACACTGTCTTGAATATTTAACTTTTGGGAAATTTTTGTCATCTCTCCTCAAGAACTTACTCTCTTTGCGGGTAGGGACATTCTCATAATTTTTTGCACATTGACTTATACATACTATAGTAATAAATACTCCTTGGCTTGACAGACTAGATTGTCTAAACCTGAGATCTGAGAGAAAAAAAAAATCTTTTTAATGTGCAGAAGGAATAAGGAAATAGGAAAGAAAAAATATAAAGGAAAACCTGGTAAAATATGTGAAAACTCCTCTCTCCGGGGTTCCTCATCACCACCCTGGATTTTTCCAGAAGGAAGTTGGAGATCTTTCCACCATCTGGTTCCCCACCTGGACTGAACTGGATTTCAAAGTATTTTCCCTGTAAGAAAGTTGGGGATTTCCTTCAATGGTTGGTGAACAGAAACATGATGTTCCAAATAGGCTTTCAATACAGTATATAATTCAAGGAAATTCATTAATGAAAGATACGTTCTGAATGATTCCCAGTTCTGGTCTAGACTTCCTCACTTCTTCCTATCAGACAATAACCAGGGCTTTCGTCCAGTCACACGATTCTGTTTTGAGAGAGAGAACCTATCGTTCCAGCCCGACTAAATAAGGATATGCTGAATTCCTTGCCCATGTTCCCCAGTGGGTGCTTGCCTGTGAGGCCGGAAGTGGTAAAGAATGGGACAGAAAATCTCAAGGTTCCCTTGATCTAACGAGAGCGAACTCTATCAGCCTATTTCAGGGGAGGCAAATTTTCCCTCTGCCAGACTTATTTTCATGGCTTTGGGCAAAAGTCATCACTTCTACTTTTGGATCATCTAACATTCTTGCATAAAATAAAAACACTTGATTATAAATCAAGTTCTTTGCAGCTAGTTGCAGGTGTGGAGATTTTTGTTACTGTTGTTGTTAATTATTTCCTTTTAAATTACTGCCGGTAGGGAACAAAGGAGAAGAAAGCCCTGGAATTTAGCCGGGTAAGGTGTCTAGATTGTTAAGTAAATGGCATGATTTTTCTCACTAGAATCTGGTTTCTCTCCCAACCTCAGAAAGGGCCAGGAGGGTAAATGCAAACGAAACAAAAGATGAGAAGGTGGGTGTGAGGGAGTGTGGTGTTAGGAATCCCTAACAAGAGACCAAAAGTTCAGCCTAGAATCAAACCGGAGAGCATGCCCCGCCTAACTGCATTTAATATTTTTAAATGTTATTATTTTAAAACACTGAATATGTTTTAAATGTGTATGCTGGTTGAATCCACCCATTTCAGGGCTGGCTCCTGCCAGGTCACAAGTCTGGGACCAGAACCGTAAATGCATTAAAAACCAGAAAAGCGCCCTGTTTCCTGTTGCCTCCAGCATCCACTACCTGCTGTGTCCTGTGAAGTCACTTGACAATTCCAGGTATCAGAGAGACTACAAAACAAGGCCCTCTAACTGTCTATTTGTCTTATTCTGATGACTCCTCCCCCAGCCTCTCCCCCAAAGAAACACAAAAACAAACACTTAGAAACACCGGAAAGAGACAAGGCCACAAGCTACTGTGATCCCGAATCACAGTGGTTCCTGACAAACGCTTGCTGAACAAGGTTCCCCGTTCTTCCTATTATGAGGACTATCCTTCACCGTCTTTTCCTTTGGGCATGTTTTAGAGGGATTACATCAGTGTTTGTTGGTGCACACCTGCATCGGGCTCTGTGCTGACAGTCCGGAGCCTGGAGCCTGCTCCGGATTCTGTGTCTCCCTCTGTCTCTGCCCCCCATCCCCACTCATGCTCTGTCTCTGTCTCTGTCTCTCTCAAAAATAAACATTTTAAAAAAGTGCAAGATGCTAGATGAATTAGTTTTGTTTGTTGTATTTTCGGTTCTGGCAGGTTGGCCGATGTCCTTGATTAGAGTTGATCAACATCCCAATTCAGGCCTAACTTAAGAAACAAAAGCCTCCCGACTTTGTGGGAGACACTGGAAAGTAGGGCAGGATACCATCCATGTAAGAGAAAGGCAAAGGAGTTTGGTACCATTTTTTAAAAGTTCCCTTAGGAGTCACAAAAAACACAAAAAACAAAACTAAGGAGGTATTTAAAGGAAGCTGAAGGAAGGGCGCATGGGTGGCTCAGCTGGTTGAGCATCCGACTTTGGCTCAGGTTATGATCTCACGGTTCATGGGTTCAAGCCCCACATCGGGCTCTGTGCTGACAGCTCAGAGCCTAGAGCCTGCTTCAGATTCTGTGTCTCCCTCTCTCTCTGCATCTCCCTGCTCATGCTCTCTCTCTCTCTCTCTCTCTCTAAAGTAAATATTTTTTAAAAAGTAATAATAAAATAAATAAAATGAAATAAAAATGGGACTGTATTATAAATTTTGTTCTATAACCTGTTTTTAAAATTTAACAATATATTTTGGATATCTTTTTAAATAAATCATTCTTGGGGCACCTGGATGGCTCAGTTGGTTGAGTGTCTGACTTCAGCTCAGGTCATGATCTCATGGTTCATGAGTATGAGCCCTGAGTTGGGCTCTGTGCTGACAGCTCAGAGCCTGGAGCCTGCTTCTGATTCTATGTCCCCATCTCTCTCTGCCCCAACCTTGTTTGTGCTCTGTCTCTGTCTTTCAAAAATGAATAAACATAAAAAAATATTTAAATAAATCATTCTTAACAAGAAACTTGGATATTATATCTTTAAAGTATTCTTAGGTCAAAGAAAACAAGCATTTTAAATTTTGATAAAAATTGCCAAACTGCTCTCATGGGAGAATGTTTAGGCTTCAACCAATAGCGTCTTTTCACTAGGATTATCAATCTCCTTAATGTGTGCCCATCTGAGAGACAGAAAATGATATATGGTTTTAATCTACATTCCTTTCATTATTCATGGAAGCATCTTTTGATGCCCCATCAGACATTAATCTGTGTGTATGTGTGTGTGCATGTACTTGTGACAAAAAGCCACACTTACAAAGAAATGAGTATTTGGCCAGCATCTTTGATTTATGTAGATTTTATATCTTATCTCAACCATAGATTATGTCTGGCAGTAACTGCCCATCCATACTCTTTCTCATCTTTCCATCACGGTTCTACAAAATTTTATAATCAGAAAACTAATAAAGGCTGGATATTTTTGCTTTGTCTTGTTTTACAAAAAAATGACTGATGTATCCTTTTGTCCCAGGATAAAGTATAGTTTGTATTGGGGAAAAAAATAAAAATATCGATGCAATTATTCTTTTCCTCTCGAAGGAAGGCAAAGAGTAGGGGATGGGTAGCTAGAGAGTTAAAGTTGGTCAAGTGCATTTTTACAAGGCAGACGGAGACTGACAATTAGGAAAAAAAGGTCATGTGGAAAATTCATTCACATTTTTCTTCACATTTCATTATCTAGAAACCTCTTCAAGATAACACAACCTAGGCACTGAGCAGAAAAATTTGAGGGGTGAACAAATGAGTAAATAGCCTGAATAATATTGAATGGCGACGAAAGTGAGGGCAGCTCCGGCAGATAAAACTCAGCAGGGAATTTAACAATCACTGCATGAGAACTTAGTAAGAATTCTCTTGGAAATAGAAGCTTCCTTCCAAAATAGAAGGGTGAAAAAGAAATTGTTTTTCCTCCAAAATTCCCACTATTTATTTTAAAATGGTCCTGAATCGGCCTCACAGATGGCTCCTTAAATGCTTTACTGCCAGACATAATCTATGGTTGAGATAAGATATAAGATCTACATAAATCAAAGATGCTGGCCAAATACTCATTTCTTTGTAAGTGTGGCTTTCTGTCAAGGAGAATATATTCATATTCATCCTTGCCAGCTTTCCAATTCACCCCTTCAGGAGACACTCAGGCAGAAAAATGTCTACATGGGCATTTGTGACAATGCATTTGGCTGGCATTTTCATTCTCTTGGGTAAGTGGACCAGTTAGGAGGCTGTCTGACAGGTCAATCCAGTTGCTTTTAGATGTTATCATGTTACATGAATATATCAAAAACAAATCACCAAGCTTCAAGGGGTGGGGAGACAGCTGGCTCACTCTGGCTGACAGAGAGGAGGAGGGTTCTCTCCAAGGTGCAAGATCGAAGTGTCTGCGCCTTTCCATGTTCACAGCCCAAGTTCCGTGAAGCAAAAGCAAGGCAATAAGACCTGCAAATCTAGTCGACTCACTTATTTGCCTGAGAAAGAAGGTCTTTTCTCCAAGGCACAAAGAAAACTCCTCCAGGACCCAAACTGACACTTTCATCAATTTTTATTGTCCCTAGTAAGGGAACTCAAGTTGAGAACTGTTTTCAAAAATTATCTTATATCCCGAGGCTCAGAAATAACCTCAGTTAAAGGGCAAATGGAAGCCTGACAGCACAGGCTGATAGAAAAGGAAGAAAGGATTGAAGAGGCAGCCTCCTGACGATATGTGAAAAGCTCCCATTTCCTTGGGGACACCAGACTTAAATCGGGAATATCAACATCATCAATCAGGTGACGTTTTCTGAAAAAGGGAAGAGACTTACAAATCGGCTGGAGTTGTTGTTCCGGACGGTCTTGGCGTTCCCAAAGGCCTCCAGCAGCGGGTTGGACTGCAGGATAATGTCCTTGACGTGCTGTCACAGCAAACAGGCCAGAGGTTAGGAAGGTGCAAGCACCAGCCACACAAAGCGTAGCCAAACTCCCTGAGGGCATGGTTTCTGAATGCAATGAGGTGAGGCCTCGAATCTACATGTTCCTGGGGTTTCTTGAGGATTTATGCTTTCTTCTCAACAGACCTCAACCAGCTTGCGTGCTCTTGTCTTCCAACTCCCTTGATGCATGATTCTCTGGAGCCAGGAAGCCACCAGTAAAACAGGATCTACAGATGTCCCGGGACTGGGTGTCCAAGCTGGACGCCGTAGCTTGACCCTACACTCACAGGCATGGTGGCAGTCACAGCAGGAAGGAGAGGGAAGTAGGAAGGGGCATCTCCTTGCCACGCTGATCAGCCTTTACTGTCCTTCCCTCTCTCCCACCCAACTTCTCCACATGCCTATTGCATGCCCATCTCCACCCTCTTCGTGGCAAGGGAGAGGTGGCTTAAGGGAAATGAAATAGTTTCTGCTCCCCAGGCAAGGTTGTGGGAACATAGTCTTGTGCTTCCCAAACTCCCATGTGTGAATCACCAAGGGATCTTGTTGAAAGGCAGATGCAGATTCAGTAGGTCTGAGGCACAGCCTGAGAATCTGCATTCTTAACCAGCTACCTGGTGCTTCTGGTTTGGCCAGCAGGAAGCCACATTTCGAGCAGCAAGGGCCAACGCTGGATTGTATGGAACAATTCCTGGCCTACTAGAGGGGGAGAATTTGGTTTTCAAACATCCCACTTCCGTGCCAGACTGAAAAGTGTGCAAAACACTCCATGGGCAAGACAGCTCAACAGATAGGAGTTGATGTTGGAGAGGTCTTTCAACAAGTGAGTCATTCCTTGTACTTCTAATTATTCACATGCTACGGTTAAACATGTTCCAGAAATAACAAGTCTTTGGTCCGCGCTCTTTAGCTACTGACTAATTTCAAGCCAAGCGCTCTGTATCATTGTCCTCATAGGAAAACAGGAAGAGAAAAGTCAACATTAAAAGTCTGCAGTCTGGTCGCTAGGTCGTGGTCTGCAGCAGATAGGACTAGATGAAGGGACAAACTACTAATTAACTATGTAACAGCTGAAGTGTTCCTTTGGCCCCCCACCTTAACATTCAGAGGAGGATCGGGAACAGGAATTTCACTAACTGGGACATGTCATGAGCAATGGCGCCAAAGGCAAATTCTGACTGGTTCCTCCATGGGGTCAAGTTCAAAGCTTAGAAACATCTTCCAAGCTTCCTACTCTCCTTTAACAACTCATGGATTTATACAAACGGTGCTTTCTTTGTAAAATTAATTTGGACTTTGTGGCTCTTCATTAATCTTTTATATCTGTTGTTTGACACCATTTATCAACACTCAGCTTCTCAAAGAGGTAGAACAAAACAAAGGCTCTTCCTTGTCTCTTCCCTTCTTTAATTACTGACTTTTAACCTCAGTTAAACGTTCTTAGGCATGTATCGACACATCATCCATCCATTAAGATGTCCCACAGAATTTTGTGGCCTGGGGTCAGCATATTGGGGAAAAGACAAAGAACAAATTAATATAAAGGTGCAGACCAGGGGCGCCTGGGTGGCGCAGTCGGTTAAGCGTCCGACTTCAACCAGGTCATGATCTCGCGGTCCGGGAGTTCGAGCCCCGCGTCAGGCTCTGGGCTGATAGCTGATGGCTCAGAGCCTGGAGCCTGTTTCTGATTCTGTGTCTCCCTCTCTCTCTCTGCCCCTCCCCCGTTCATGCTCTGTCTCTGTCCCAAAAATAAATAAACGTTGAAAAAAAAAATTAAAAAAAAAAAAAAATAAAATAAAATAAAGGTGCAGACCACCCACAAAACAGCATCCCGAGTTTCTGTCTTCATGTCAACCTTCCGGGGCTAGGGTATGGTCACATGAATGGAGATAATCAAATGGCAACACACCATCCCAGGGCCTTGAATCGCACTGACTGTCCAATATGGAAGCCATGAGCCACATGTTGCATTAAGTTGCAAGAAGGCTAGTCCCAACGGAGATATTCAGTGTAGATTACACACTGGATTTCAAAGATTTAATATCAGAAAGAATGTAAAATATCTCATTAGGTTTTTGATATAGATTATATGCTGCAATGGTAATGTTTGGGATATGTTAAACACAATATATTTTTAAAATTACTTTCATAGGCTTCTTTTTACCTTTTTAAAAATGTAAAAGTGCTGCATTTACAATGCAAATTTTAAATTACGTGTGTGATTTGTGCCATCTTGCCACTGGACAGGGCTACTCTACATCTGCTTTCCTTCAGTGAAAGAGACCACTCTAAGACCCTTTCTCTCTGTGAAAGGAATTTTGAATGCTGCCATAAGCTTTCTGACCCACTGGGATATAACAGAGCTTCATTGAATTAGCAGACAGAACCATGGTAAAGAGAATTTTGATGCATCTTTTTAAAGTCTACAGATGATTGCAGCAATAATATCACTTATTAAATGATGCTGATTTTTTAAATTTATTAAGTTAGCTAACATACAGTGTAGTCTTGGCTTCAGAAGTAGGTTCCAGTGATTCATCACTTACATATAACAATGATTCTGATCAAAAAATTAATCTTTATGGTGAAATCTACCTGGGAGCATGAGTTCCAATAAAAAAAAAAAATGTTTCCAGCGGTCCGTGCCAGTGATGAGCACTATGAGTTTGGGCAGTCCCTGTGGACCCTCGCCTACCTTCTCCATCATCCATTGCCCATTCCTGCTGATGCTGATTCTGCTCCCATGATGAGTGAAACTAAAGACAGATGAAGCTGCATCTACCTTCTTCATACTGTACTCTCAAGTGTGCTGCTTCTCTGCCCATATCCCGTTCCCCTCCTTTTGTGTTTTGTTTTTTTTTTTTTCATTTCTCCTGTGTCCTCATTTTCTGGATCTCCCTGCTTTCCTAATGTTCCTCTCTGATCTTTCCTTCTTCCTTAGTCTTTCCCTCCCCCTTCTCTATTTTAAGATTTTTGTAAATTTCTTGAACTGAAAATGTAGTCGCCTAGTTCAAACCATAAAAGTTTCAAAAGGATATTGGGGAGAGTGTGCCCTTCCCCTAGTCTCCCGGTTTCCCTCCCTGAAGAACTCATTATCAGCTTCTTATATATCCTTCCAGAAGTATGTTACACATATCCAAACAAATAGGGAAATATGTTCTCTTTTTCTTCTCAGATGGCAACACATGACACACAATGTTCTAAATCTTGCTTTTTGCAATATATCATTATCTTGGAGATCATTCCCTCTCAGTCTATGAAGCTTCATTTTTAAGGCTGTCTCATAATTCTACTCTATTATGAGCCATGAATTATTTCACCAGTCTCTGACTGATGAACATTCAAATGGTTTGCAGTCTTTGACATTACTAAAAAATGCCATACCAAATAACTGCTATCATTTTGCATGTATTTCAGCACATCTAAAGGATACATTCTCTTAAGAAGAATTGATGAGTCAAAGGGCCCATACACATATAGCTGATAGATTTTGCTGAAACGCCCTCCACTAAGAGTATATGAGCTCATGATCCTACCACAATGTATGAGAGAGACTGTGTTCCTGTATTTTTACCAAGAGTGTTCAAAACACTACAAGATTTTTGCCATTCTGACAGTTAAATAGTTTCTGTGAAGTTTCAATTTGCACTGCCCTTATTATCCTGAGGGTGAGCATATTTTCATGTTTTATGAGTTGTCTTTCACACCCTTTATCTCCTTTTTGGATTTTTGACCCTTTTTATTGATTTGCAAGAGCTCATTATATATTAGCTATCTCCATCCCATGTTATTTCTTTGCTGATTTCAAGGTTCTTGGTTATAGAACCTATGTCTTTTCTGTGGAAAAAAAAAAATTCTTGTTTTTTAAACAAGCCAGTGGAGACTTTCATATTTCACATAATACAGGGCTTCAAAACAGCCCCCATCACTAACTCACCTGGACTTTGGGACCTCCTCCAGATACCCTGGAGATGTAACTCATGATGTATTTGGCAGCCACTGTCTTCCCAGCACCACTTTCACCACTGAGCAAAGAAAGACAAAAATACCACCCGTGAAGGGGATCACAACCAGTTCCCTCCCCCAACAAATCAAAAACAAAAAAGAAAGCAAACATGAAGGAATTCAGTAATAAATGCACAATATTGGTTGAGAAAGGCAAATCCCAGCAGGTTGCTCCCTGACTTGTCTGAGTGATATTAACATGGTTTGAGGACCCAGGTCTTGATAATGGCCATGTCCAGAATAGACGATCAGGCCTTCTAAGTGCCTGTGAACAGAGAACATGCTTAGGAACACTTTGGGATATCAGAAGGATGGAATATTCTACAGAAATTACAACTGACATAAAGATTATAAACTTATGGAAAAAAGCATATAAAGTAATGTTAAGTGAAATAAATCAGATATACAAATGATATATAAACACATGAAAACACGTAAAGGAAAAAATACATAAGAAAAGAAAAGACTAGAACTACCACAAAATATTAGCAGAGGTTTTGGTAAAGGAAAAGATACTGTGGAAGACTCCTTTCTTTCATTATTTTCCAAACTTTTAGTAATGCATATTATTACTTCTGTAATTAAAAAAAAAAAAAAAAAGGAAAACGTAGGCACTCTCAGGTTTCAAACGATGTGCCTTGAACTGATGCAAGCAACTTTATTTTAGAAGTTCTAAAATTAAACAATGAGGCAATATTAATCACATCCTGCATAACAAAGACTACCTTCCGTTTTGGTGGCCTTACTGCATGGGGAAACCCTTTTGTTAACAGTGTATAGTCTGCTCTTGAAAATACCCGTTCTTCCTTCAAAATCCCCTCGAATTGATGATGACCTCAACTCAAAACCCGCTGAAGTCAGTCAGATTTCTCCTCTCTCTATTGGTTGCCTCTGTGTTACCATGATAGAATTAATTAACGGAGGGCAGATCATGTAAAATAATGGTGAAGGCTAGTATGAGAACTTCAGGCTGCTAAGAGTTCATGAGACACTATTTTTGTTTGTTCTTGGTGATCAAGAATTTCGGGGTACAGAGCAAATGTTTGTCTATGAACACCCAACCTCAAGAACTATTATCAATTGCCCGTTTACTCAAGAAAAGGGGCCATGTCTGCTTAGGGTCCATCCAAGCTAGGTGACCCCTTACCTTCAAAAAGAAAGTGAAATTTGGAAATAATTTGGATATTTTGAAACAAAACAAACACAAAGAGGATTAAGGTAGCCATCAGAGGAAAATTCAGAAGTTAGTTGAATTTCCTTGACCTCATACATGTTTAATTAGAGAGTATATGGGAAGAATGCGGGAACTCTTCGAGGGTCTCTAAAGGTCTGAACCCACCAATACAACTCCCACCATTCACCATCCCAGTACTCAGTTCCCGGCTTGCAGGTCACATGATGAGGGAAACCAAACTGAAATTCCCTAAGGTGTGGCGGCAGGTAGAAAACCAGAAAGTCTGGGATGAAACGTCACGCTGTTTGCAGAGGACATGCTTACTCGAAGGCACAAGGAGGGGTAGTAAATATTTCAGTTTCAACAAGAAAATGATCTGTTTCAATGGTCCACGTAATCAAATGATTTACATGCTAGATCCAGGGTCAAATCATGCACTCTTGCTCATCTGAAGCATACGTTTTGTCAACAAACGAAACTCCATTTTATAATGTTGCAAATAATGTGAACACTCAAGGATATTGTAAAGCCCAAGAGAGCAAAGGTACAACCACCCAATCTAATATCACACAGACACTTAAAATAATTAGAGGGGCTCCTGGGTGGCTCAGTCAGTTAAGCATCTGACTTCAACTTCGGCTTGAGTCATGATCTCACAGGTCATGAGTTCGAGCCCCAGGTCAGGCCCTGTGCTGACAGCTTCAGATTCTGTGTCTCACTCTCATTCTGCCCCTCCGCCATTCATGCTCTGTCTCTGTTTCTTTTTCTTTCTTTCTTTCTCTCTTTCTTTCTTTCTTTCTCTTTCTTTCTTTCTCTCCCTCCCTCTCTCAAAAATAAAAAATAAACATAAAAAATTTAAAAAAAGAAAAAGAAACATTTCTGACTTATTGAAGGGCTGGTGTGTAGATGACTCTTTTTTCTTTTGATGTGATTTCTCTCAATTCTTAAAAGTTTCGAGACAGGTAATTACCTATATATTCCAGATATTTAAAAACAGCATTTCTAGAAAAAGTGGAACCACACACCACAGTGATAATCAACATTGATCAATTTCTTCAGATTATTCTTCAAGTTCCCTTATCAGGATAAGTAAACATATTTTCATGTTTAGAATTCCTTGAAGAAAGTTGTGTGTGTGTGTGTGTGTGTGTGTGTGTGTGTGTGTGTGTGTGTAAGAAAGAAAAGGAAAAATGACAAATCTGAGCAGAATTATGAAATCAAAGTATAGTGATTCCCCCATTGTGTCTTTGATTATTAGTGAAATCAGACATGAACTATTTTATCTCTTTTGTTGGAAGCAAAAGAACAGAATAATACTGGAACGTAATTCATTTCACATATTAAGATAAATAAACCAGGTCCAATAATAGAACTTCTACTTTCTAAAAATTGTGATATTTTTCAGAAGCTTTAAAATAATTAGTTCTGGGGGCGCCTGGGTGGCTCAGTCGGTTGGGCGTCTGACTTTGGCTCAGGTCGTGATCTCGTGGTCTGTGAGTTAGTTAGAGCCCCGCGTCTGGCTCTGTGCTGACAGTTCAGAGCCTGGAGCTTGTTTCAGAATCTGTGTCTCCCTCTCTCTGAGCCTCCCCCGTTCATGCTCTGTCTCTCTCTGTCTCAAAAATAAATAAACGTTAAAAAAATTTTTTTAATAATTAGTTCTGGCTTAATATTGACTGGAATTTTCATCTCTTGGTTTCCATTTATAAACACTTAAAAAACGTTTTATTGATCAGAGGCTGGTAACTTGCTCAGAATATGGTACAATAACGGAATGTTACATAATTATTTGAAGCTTAAAATATATAGGACCATAATTATACTGGCCCTTTGGGATGGGAAAATATCATTTCTTCCCCTGGACTAAAACCCAAGTGAAAAGAAAGTATCAGACACTATACAGCATATCCAAAATTATTTGCTTTGCATCTCACAGCAGTTGGGAAATTTGCTCTGCTTACAGTTATAGGCAGTCTTTCTTAATTTAATTGCTTTCACTTGACTTCTAAAGTGGACAAAAAAAAAAAAATACTCTAGAACTGTATGTGCTTTAAATCAGAAAAATGTCCCATTGGTCCCTAAATCCAGCAGCCAATGAGAATCCTTAAAGTACTTTCATTTCTTTTTTAAAATTTTGTTAAAATTTTATTTAGAGAGAGGGAGCAAGTGGGGAAGAGGGGCAGAGAGAGAGAGAGAGAGAGAGGGAGAGAAAGAGAGTCTCAAGTGGGTTCCATGCTGATGCGGAGCTTGATCCCACAACCTGGGATCATACCTGAGCCAAAATTAAGAGTTGGACACTCAACTGACTGAGCCACCCAGGCACCCCTCACAGAGCTTTTAAAATGCTTATGTTTGGGCTCCACTTCTGACCCACTGCATCCCAGTCTCCAAGGACAGTGCCTAGAAATAAGATTTTTAACTAACTCCCTAGTTCTTATATAGCTGGCTGTGAACCAAACAAATTTAGAACAAAGTCAAGACAGACTTCGTAGGAAATATCAATTTAAATAGGAAATAATGTTGAGTGCATTAGCTATAGAAATAGAAACATATGCTAAAATTTCAAAGAAATGGAAAGAATGTTCTGGGGATAAAAAAAGCTATTTACAATGGTATATTAATAATTGGATTCAAGGACCATAATTGCATTTCGAAGTCTAAAAGTTATTCCTCACTTAAAAATCAATAGTGTTTTTGGGGCATCTAGGTGGCTCAGTCAGTTAAGAGTCCAACTTTGACTCAAGTCATGATCTCACGGTTCATGGGTTTGGGCCCCACATTGAGCTCTGTGCTGACAGCCTGAAGCCTGGAGCCTGCTTTGGATTCTGTGTCTCCCTCTCTCTCTGCCCCTCCCCCGTTTGCATTCTGTCTGTCTATCTCTCAAAAATAAACATTAAAAAAAATTAAAAAGATCAATAGTGTTTTCAATTCACTTCAACTTACTCCAGCAAATGTGAAAACATTTCAGTCATATTTTTTGAGCAGATATCCCATAGCATAAGGAGAGTCAATCATTTGGAAGATTCGCCCATCTATTCCTATCTCTCCCTTCCTCAAAATATCTCAGGGTGCCTGGGTGGCTCAGTCAGTTGAGTGTCCAACTCTTGATTTTGGCTCAGGTCATGATCCCAGGGTCATGGGATCGAGTCCCAAGTCAGGCTCTGCACTGACAGAATGGAGCCTTCTTGGGATTCTCTGTCTCTCTGTCTCTCTCTCTGCCCCTCCCCCCCAATAAATCAATAAACTTAAAAAAAAAAGAGATCAGCAAGAGGCTTTAAAACATACGAGCACAGAACAGACTTACTCTCTGATTGAAGCAGGAACACTGAAATAAAACTAAACATGGGATCATCCTCTGTACATTCTTTAATATTATGTATGCCCAGCAGTGGGCCACCTGCAGCCAGCTCGCACACCCCAGCGGTGCTCAGCACAGTTGGGAAGTGCTGTAGTCATTAATGGGAAGCACGCGTGGAGCATGGAGGCTGACCTGGAAGGAGACAGCCAGGTTCAAAGGGTGTGCAGGGGCCAGGCGAAGGAGATGAAGGGGTGTCAAGAGATGGAAGGGAGTAAACTCCTGCCCTATTAGAAGTACAACTGGTAGAATTTAGCAAGGGATGGAGTACGGCAGAAGATGGATAAGAAGGAATCAAGAGTGACATCTCAGTTTGGGGCCTCGGGAGCTGGTGGATGCCATATCACTAAGATAAGAGTTTAAATAACCCCCAGGCCAGCGATGCAAAATCATGTGGTCGTAGGAGCCCAGAGACTAAGGATGCAGAGTAGTGAAGGGCATTTGAGGGGCCACCTAGAGGTGAGGGCCAGTGGGCTTGGTGGGCCGGGACTCAG